CTTTACTGGGGTCGCATCCGAGCAGAAGAGCTCGAAATCCTCATCAGAAATTGGTCACAGATATTGGGTAGGATCTTCACTGAGGGCGGCCGAGGTGGAGGAAGCTTCTGTTGGATGGATTTCCTTCCCCTTTCGCTTCTGCTCCTGCAGATTGTCCTTGGAGAAACTGTTGTCAAGGTCGATTGAGTTGATGTGATGTTGTGGCATTGTCTCCTCGGAGTTGCTAGGACAGGGAGGTTTGTTGGCTGCTTTGGATGGTGCATTGATGGTGTTCATCCCTTTTGAGGCTGCTTTGAAGCATCTCCTTGTTGCTTCGATATCTCTGTGGAGGGTGGCTACCATTCCTTCTGAAGTGTAGTACTTCATTTTTAGGTGTACCATTGAGGGAACAACTATGAGTTTGGCCTCCCGAAGATACATCAGTATAAAAAGGGCCAGTCTACCACTAAGAAATGGTTTTGGTGGACTTGGCCGTCTCGGCTGCCTGAAAAGTGATGATCAACTCGATGAAACCCCATGACTTGGTGACCGCACCATTGAAACCTTGGAGGTCCGAGCCTACATAAGGCGTCAGGTGCACTTCGTTGAGCTATAGTATGGTGAACATTTGGGAATACATGATGTCTACCAAGCTTCCCTGGTCGACAAGGATACGCCTAACATCAAAGTTGGCCATCTGTGCTCGTACAAGCAGAGGGATGCTCGAATTAGGAGCCCCATCGGGAAGTTCCTCGCGATAGAAAGAAATTGGGACGGAGCTCCCCCAAAATTTGTCGATGGTGGAGTTCTGGTTGGAGCTTGCTTCAATTATCCGCTCGAATCTCCTCTTCACCGAGCCCACGGTAAATTTATTAAAACCTCCGCCGGAGATAACCACGGCAGAAGGGAATGTCTCCCAGGGACTGTGCATCGTGAAGTACAGGGGATGCTCGCTTCTTCGTGGATGTAGAAATCCTCGAGCCGCCAAATGCACATGGCGACGGGCATGTTGATGTTGTCTGGGGCAGGTTTATCTTCCTTGACTTTCTTTGACCCAGGTGTGTCCTCAGAGGGACCATCCTTCTTCTTTTACTTCTTAAGATGCCCATCTCTGATGAGGATCTCAATGGCATCTTTCAGGTGGATGCAATTTTTCATTGTGTACCCGTGGCTCTTGTGGAACCGACAATATTTTGATTTGTCTGCCCCAGGCTTGAACGATGTCTATCGAGGAAACTAGACCCCTGCTTGGCTAAAATCTGAATTTGCACAATTGATCAAGATGTGCTCGCGAGAGGTGGTTAGAATTGTGTAGTCATGAAACCGGCCAGATGGTCCCTTGTATTCCCACGAATCTCGGGGCTTTTCGTCTTTCCTCTTCTCGTCTCCCCAACGAGATGTTAAGGGATCGTCATGTTTTGAACCCTTGGCATTCTCCTGGTGCCCCGAGTCCTGGGCATAATTGACAGCTTCCTTTTCTTCGTACTGGATGTACGCTTGTGCCTTGAGGATGAGGATATCCAGGGAGGAGGGAGTTTCAATGTCGACGGCTTTGGCAAAGTCACTGCACAGGCGCAGTCCGCGCTCGAGCAAGTATTTCTTCATATCATCAGTTGTGGAGACTTGAACAGCCTCGTGGTTGAACCTATCAATATTTGCTTGAAGAGACTCATCCTTGCCTTGGATGATCGCTTCGAGCAATGCTTCTAACTTCAGGTGCCAACGAGAAGCTGTGAAATGTTTGGAGAACTGCTCTCTAAGGTTCCACCATGACGTGATGGATTCGTTGGGAATAATTTTGTACCATACCATAGATCCTTTTCTATGTAAGATGGAGAATAGCCCGCACTTTATAGCGCCTTTGATGCCTCGTTAATCGATCAAAGTGTCAATGTTTTCGAGGTGATCGTCCAGTTCAGCGGTCCCATCGTATGTCCCCAAGTTAGGGGATTTCTCTATTCCGGTAGGGAGTGGTGTTTCCATGATTTCTTGCGATAACGGACTGCAGGGGTTGTCATTATCGCTCCAGCTTCTGGACCGAGTTGAAGAGTAATTCCTTGCTTGGCATGGACTATCAGCTTTCTAGGGAGATGGGATTCTTGGGTGAATCTTTGATTTAAGTGGAAGCGAATGGTGATTGTCTGGTCATGACTCGGCCCGTGTCTTCTTCGGGGAGCGGTGATCTCTGCGAGGAGGTGAATGATTACGCTTTCTATTGAGCGTAATCTATGGTTTTCCTTGTGTTGGTCGTCGACCATGGGGCTGTGGCAAAGGACTGCGTGACATGCGTTGTTGATATCTCCGAGGAGGAGATCTTGGTGTTGGTCTGATTTAGGGAAGCGAGCAGATCTTCCATGGCCGAATCGGTGCTGGTCGGTATTGGGACCGGCTAGAGAATGGTTAGTTCCTCTTCTTGGGCTTCTTAGACCTGCCAACTTCCAAGAAATGGATGTCCTCGTCGTTAGCCTCGACGAAGGAGGGAGACGTTATGGCACTGTCTCTCTTGAAGGGGATGTCCTCGAGGGGGAGGGGGAGAGGGGGGCATGTGTCGTCATTGTCAGCCTTACAAACGGGGCATAAGATGATTTTTCCAGTAAGATGGTTGTCATCATTATCGACCATGATCGAAATCTGGTGATGTTTCTTTGATCTTTGGTTTCTGAGGAAAGAAAGATGGAGAGAACAGGTTTCCCACAGACAGAGCCACTGACCTTTCCAGTGATCAGTACCTGTAATGGGCCGATAACTTCGTCTGCAATGCTGGTAAAAATGAGGAGGATGGGATGTACCTGCAAGGCACTCCGATGCTCAACTAAGAAAGAGTGCAAAGAGATACAAGATAGAAAATCTAGGGTTTTAGAAGCAAGTGATGAATATTATATATCCGGCCCTCATAAGTGTGAGGGTTTATATAGTTCCCCCGACACTTGGTCATTGATTCTTATTTTTGGGCCTAGCTATCAGGTTCCTCAAAAATAGGTAGCTATCAGGAATTAGCCGTTGTAACGGGCGGAGATGCTCGGAACTAGCCGTTACGACAGGAAGAAGGGTATTCATGGGCAAGCTTGATCTGATCGTTCTTGGGTGACTGTCCTCGTGTGGCTAGCAGGATGAGGACTAGCCTGTTCTGAGGGAAGATGTGGTCTTGTTGATCCTGGGGGTCAACCGACCACGGCTCCTTGAGTGAGGGGAAGAAGGAGAAAGTGTCTCTTATCAATTTTAGCTGATTGGGCCAAAGTCATTGGACAGTCCTAAACGCAGATGTGGATTGGGCCCTGCTTAGCTATTGGGTCAGTATAGAACAATGAAAATATGAGATTCCCAACCTCACTTTTCTAGGAATCTTTATTTGCCTCCATCAAACAAACACACCCTTAATATTAGTGAAAAGTTGTAGTTAGTTGTATTTTATTTCTATGAGAATGTTGAATTCCCACCATTGAGACACGAGAACAAATATAAGAAAAGTCATGTGTAAAAATATTCCTAAGATTAAAAAATATTTGGGAATAATTTTAAAATTTTTGAAACAAACATGAGATTATTGTATTTCTCATATCACATTCTCGAAAATATATTTCATATCCTTGAAACAAACACGAGATTAATTATCATGCACTGTCAATGTAACAAGTTTTACAGCATCAGTACATCACAACCATCAATAAATATTACTTTATTAATAATTAAAATAAAAGTCAAAATTAATCTAAAATCTATTACTTTATTAATAATTAAAATAAAAGTCAAAATTAATCTAAAATCTAACCGTTAATATTTATTAACGGTGTAAAATTTCTTTATACCATGAGTACATTCAAATTAAATTCAACAAACACACCCTAAGTCAATTGGACTTTATTAATAAGTATTTAATTGGAATTGGTAAAAATAAATATATATTTCTTTTTAAAATGGAGGGTTGTTTGGGGACAAAAGCACCGTCCACCCAAATCTTTAATATTATTTATCGATGGAAGTTAGGCCAAAACTTGTTGTTTACTTAAAATGAAATACATATTATACTAACAACTTCTTCTTCTAACTATTTATAGAGTATAATACTTTTAACTTTTAAATAATTTAATCTAGAGTTTTATCTATACATGTGTTTAGAAAAAATTGAGTTTGGATTTTGTTGGATAGTATCCTCAACCAATTAAATATTTATGGGTGTATTTATTCGACAGATTTAAAATTATTATCTTATGAATATCATTTGTAAGAATATTATTGTTAAGAACTTTATTCTTATTAATATATTAGCAAATAAATCGAATTTTCAGAAATATTTTTAAGTTTTATTTTAACTAAAATTTTAAAATTAAAATATATAAAATAAATTAATATAAAAGTGAAAAGTTATAATTAGTTATTTTATGTTCTTATAGGAATGGAAGATTTTCATTCTTTTATATGAAAATAAAAGTTAAGAAATTTTGTAAATAAATTATGTTTTTGAGAATAAAAAATAAGCTGATATAATTTATTAAAACTTGAAATAAACATGAAACATGTGAATTCTAATGTCACATTCTCAAAAATAATATTTATATTCATAAAACAAACACATTTCATAACTCAATATCACTTCACATTTTTTATTTTATTTTATTTAAAAATAAATTGAAATTTTAATATAATTTATATTAAAAAATAATAAAGTGAAAGTTTATAGAACAATTTAATGTAATGTTTTGGTAGTTAGTTTTGTTTTGTCAGCTTTATAAAAAAATGAAAAGTCTTGTTAGTTTAATTTAATGGATTATTGGATAGAAATAGCTTTTGAGTATTGAATTGAATTTTTAAACATATAAATGTAAGAAGACGCAGTCAGTCACAACTTTTCCCCATTTCTATAAGTTTCCTTTACATTCATGAAACTGTCCATTTTCATTCACAAAACATTATCATTCATGAGTTGACGTTTTACACAATCTTGTTTAAGTTTCATGTTTTTTAAATCGTGTTTGTTTTTGGTGTGGCAGATCCTGTTGTCTTGGAATTCAACTGATTATTGTATGTCCATTTCCATGAGATGTTTTTGCTTTACCAGAAGCAGATCAAAAGTTAAGCACCAACAATCTTCCATACTTGCTTCGGAGACATCATGTAAGTCAACATCTTCCTACTTGTTATTTTGAACTATGAAACACAGACACAGACACGAAATCAGACACATCAGTTAAATAGAATCACCATAATAACTTGAGAAAATGGACATAGTTGAATACAATCACATGTGTCAGGGTTTGATCAGTGACATGTTTCAAACACTAGATACATATACGTCTTTAATCTAAAATGATATTGCTTCATAATTGATTTCAAATTGAATCCTTGTTCTTGAAACTTTCATGATAGTTACTGTAAATGAGGTTGAGGCTTTATTTGACTTGTTTAAGAAACTAAGCAGTTCAATTTTTGATGATGGCTGCATTCACAAGGTATATTCACATTATCACGACTCGTTTCATCACATTTTAATAAAATTATTTTTTAGATTCATTGAATAACTAATATATCTGATCTATATATTGTCAAATATATTAGTTATTTAATATATATAAAAGTAAATTTTTTCTTATAAATAGAATTCGAGTACTATTTTTTTCTAAAATATTAGTTATACTTGCTAAATTCTGCAAGACATTTATTTATGTGTAGGAGGAGTTTCAACTTGCACTTTTTAGAAATAGTAGCAAGCAGAATCTACTTGCAAGCAGGGTAAATTATATCATACTCTAACTTGAAATTCACAGTTTTACAGGATGATGTTGCAATCTAAGAAAGCTTAATTATGCAGGTATTTGATATGTTTGATATTAAGCATAATGGAGTTATCGAATTTGGAGAATTCGTTCGCTCACTAAGCATTTTTCATCCAAGGGCATCCGAAGACAAGAAAATTGAATGTATGAAATTAATGTTGTATCCGAGAAATCAAACACTCGTTCATTTCTATGAGATTCTAATTTTTTTTCCTTGCAGTCGCGTTTAAATTGTTTGATCTTAGAAAGACCGGATACATTGAACATAGTGAGGTGAGTATCCTCAAAGCTTTCCGGCCTTCTATTATGCTGTTTTGAGCATCTTATCACCTTTTTTTGTTTGGTCATTGAAGTTGAAGAAGATGGTGTTGGCTACTTTGAATGAATCAGAAGTTACCGTCTCAGATGATATTGTTGAATCTATCCTGGAAAAGGTTATTAACTATTGTGTTCATTCGATATCTTTATTTGCTTCAATCTAATTCTTATTATTCTCGGCTTCATCTTTTTAGACAATGACGGAGGTTGATTCAAAAGGAGACGGGAGGATTGATATGGAAGAGTGGAAAGAATACGCGACAAAAAATCCTTCTCTTCTTAAGATCATGACTCTGCCATATCTAAAGTAAGTCTCCATTCTAATCAATGAAAATTTAACAGCAAAATTGAAATTTTTTCGACTCAATAAACATAAACATTAGACATGTCGAATTAAAGGAATATTTAGCAAAGCTAAATATGGAAAGATTAAATGTGGTTAATGCAATACAATACACTCCAGTAAAAATAGAGAGTAATAATAGGTAGGCAACGACTTATACTTGTCAGTAATGTAATTCACTCATTTTATAGCATAGGGGTTACTATAAAATGAAGCATGTTTGTCACAACAGATATAATCAATACATATTGTAACAAGTTATTAGTTTTTCAATAAGTTCATCTTTCTTCTTAGACATTTCATTTCTTCATATAAGTTTATTGTTCTAACTACATTATTTCGTGTTCAACTTTAGTGAGAGTTGTATTTCATATTGTTATTAGAAGCCAAATTTCCGCTGCGACTCTAACAATTGGTATCAGAGCCAATTGTAAAATTGTAGAGTGGTAAAATTTATTATTATTTTTTGGTTATCGAAGATAATGGCTTCTACTAGTGGAACCGTCAAGGTTGGAAAATATGAAATAGAGAAGTTTAATGGGAAAAATGATTTTTCTTATTGGAGGATGCAAATGAAAAATTTGCTTATTTCACAAAAGTTACACAAGGCGTTAGCAGAACAGAAACCTGAGAGTATGAAGGATGAGGATTGAGAAGAGTTAGTTCTTGAAGCACGGGCAGTCATAATCTTATGCCTTGAGAGAGATGTTGCGTTCTTGGTTAATGAAGAAGCAACGACTGTTGGCGTGTGGTCAAAGTTAGAGAAAAATTTCATGACGAAAACTCTAACAAATCGAATCTACTTGAAATCCAAATTGTATACATGCAAGATGGAGGAAGGCACCCCAATCCGTGATTATGTCAACAAGTTTGATAGGATTATATCGGACTTGAAGGATATAGGAGTGAAGATTGATGATGAAGACCAAGCACTTATGTTGCTTCTTTCATTGACCAAGAAGTATGAAAATCTAGTTCAAACATTGATGCTTGTGGGTGATACTTTAACCATGGATGAGACTAGAACATCATTATTAGCGGATGATCTTCGAAAGGTTGATACTAGTGGAATGTCTAGTAATGGTGGAGAAAATAACGAACAGGCTCAAGGATCGCTTGTTACTAGAGGGAGGACAAATGAAAGAGGACAAGGCAGGGGCGGCAAGTCTAGATCAAAATCTAGAGCTCATGCAGAAAGAACGTGCTTTAAATGTGGTGAGCTTGGGCTCTTTAAAGCAAATTGTCCAAATAAGAGGGTATTATTTAAAAATTATACCAACAACGGCAACAAATCCAAAGGTAAACTACAAGATTTGCAAGAGGCGAGTTATGTCTCAAATGGTGAGAATGATTGTTTCTCTATCTCAGAGCAAGACCATGATATCTCTGGGAGATGGATGCTTGATTCAGGAGCTTCACACCATATGTGCCCAAATAGGAAGTGGTTTACTACCTACCAAAGTACAAATGGTGGTACAGTTTTAATGGGGAATAACCATGCCTGCAAAATTATGAGGTATTGTACAATATGAATCAAGATGCATGATGGAGTGGTAAGGACTTTGATGAACGTGAGACAGGTCCCTAATTTGCGGAAAAACCTTATTTCTCTTGGTGTATTAGAGGAAAACAGTTGCAAAATAATCTTGGAAAATGGAGGCTTAAATGTTGTTCGTGGTTCGTTGGTTGTGATGAAGGGGGTTCGTCACAGAAATCTGTATTCTCTTATGGGGGAAACTGTCACTGGTGATTTGGCAGTTGGAATCAATAGAAATAAAGACCAAACTGAATGTACGAGGATGTGGCACATGCGCCTTGGGCATATGTCTAAAAAGGGTCTATCACTTCTTGGTGAGAAAAGTTTGCTGAAGAACATGGAAAAGCCATGCATGGAATTTTGTGAACATTGTGTGTATGGCAAAGCACATAGGTTGCAGTTTTCTACAAGCAAGCATAAAAATAGGGAAATATTATACTACGTGCACACTGACGTTTGGGGTCCGGCTCCAGTTACTTCTAAGGGTGGTTCAAGGTACTTTGTTACATATGTTGATGATCATTCGAGGTATGCTTGGATTTACTTTATTAAGCATAAGAATGAGGTATTTGATATCTTCAAGTGTTGTAAAGCAATGGTTGAGAACAGAACGAGTAGAAAGCTGAAAACTCTGCGATCCGATAGTGGTACAGAGTATACAGATGGAGCTTTCAAGAGGTTTTGTGATCAAGAAGGTATTGTTAGACACTGGACGGTCAGAGGCACACCACAACAGAATGGAGTCGCGGAAAGGCTGAACCGTACACTTCTTGGAGAAAGCGAGGTGTATGCGCTCTAATTATGGGTTGGGTCGAGAATGGTGGGCAGAGTCGGTTGCTACAGCTTGCTATGTGGTAAACAGATCCCCACATTCGAGTTTAGGTGGAGACACACCCTACAAGGTGTGGTCAGGTGAACATACTGATTATGAAAAACTGAAAATCTTTGGATGCACGGCCTATTATCATGTCAAGAATAGTAAACTTGATAATAGAGCTAAGAAAACTATCTTTCTAGGATATGCAACAGGGGTCAAAGGCTATCGCCTTTGGAGTATAGAAGATTCTAAGTTTGTGATTAGAAGGGATGTTACATTTGACGAAAAATCTATGGTAGCTTTGTGAAAAGCTATAAATCCTAACGATGGTGATGTGACAATATCAAATAAGCAAGTCATTGAGATAGAATCTGAAGACCAACCAGATTCTAGTCGTGGTCAGGTGGAGAATCCTATCGCTAGTGAAGACGAGGAAGAGGATGAACTTGATCATGAGGAGGTTCAGCAGGAAAATACACATGTGTTACAACAACAACAACAGGAATCTTTGGATACCACCAGGCCAAAGAGAAATTATAAACTAGTTCAGAAGTTTGGGTCAGACAAACCTCTGAGGCATTATGGGCAAGTTAACTTGGTGGAATATGCACTCTCAATTGAAGATGATGAGCCAGTCACCTTCAAGCAAGCTATCAAAGAAAAATATAGAGAGAGTTGGTTGGTTGCTATGGAGGAAGAGATGCAATCTCTTCAGAAGAACAAGACATGAGAGGTGGTCCCATTGCCCGTGGGAAAGAATGTTATTGGTTGTAAATGGGTGTATAAAAGAAAAGAAGATCATACTAAGTCATGCGGTACAAGATATAAGGCTAGGCTAGTGGCCAAGGGGTTTTCACAAAAGGAAGGAGTTGATTACAATGAGATATTTTCTCCGGTGGTGAAACATACTTCTATTCGGGTGCTATTAAGTTTAGTAGCTCATGGTGATCTTGAGCTGGAACAACTAGACGTGAAGACAGTCTTCTTGCATGGAGACTTAGACGAAGAAATATATATGTATCAACCTGAGGGTTACAAAGTTGAGGGTAAAGAGAGTCAGGTATGTCGCTTGAGAAAATCACTTTACGGGTTGAAACAATCTCCTAGACAATGGTACAAGCGATTTGATTCTTTCATGATAAAACAAGGTTTCTCTAGAAGTAGTTATGACAGTTGTGTCTATATTCAGAAGCTCCGTGGAGGTGATTATATCTATCTATTATTGTATGTCGATGACATGCTTATTGCTTCAAAAAGCAAGGTGGAGATAGATAAGCTGAAGTCTAAACTTGGTAAAGAGTTTGAGACGAAGGATTTGGGCGCTGCAAAGAAAATATTGGGTATGGAGATTAGAAGAGAGCGGACAAACCGAAAACTGTTTTTGAGTCAAAAGGGCTATTTAGAGCGTGTTGTTGAAAGGTTTGGAATGAAAGGTGTTAAGTCGGTGGTTACTCCATTAGCTCCACATTTTAGGCTTTCTGGTAATCAGTCCCACTACTGCAGAAGATAAGGCAAACATGGAAAATGTACCTTATGCTAGTGCAGTTGGCAGTTTGATGTACGCTATGGTGTGTACACGTCCGGATATTTCACAAGCGGTAAGTGTTGTTAGTAGATTCATGGCGAATCCGGGAAAGGCACACTAGGAAGCGGTGAAATGGATTTTGAGGTACTTAAAGGGTACCATTGACACATGTTTGTGTTTTGGTGGAGATACATGTCAAATAAGCGGGTTTGTTGATTCGGATTATGCTGGTGATCTAGATAGACGACGATCTACAACTGGTTATGTGTTTCAAATACACGGTGCTCCAGTTAGTTGGCGATCGATGTTACAGTCTACAGTGACACTCTCTACTACGGAAGCCGAGTACATGACAGTAGCAGAAGAAGTAAAGGAAACATTGTGGCTGAGGGGTCTTCTAGGTGATTTGGGTGTTAAGCAAGAACGTGTGAGACTGATGTGTGATAGTCAAAGTGCAATTCATTTGGCTAAGAATCAGGTTCATCATGCTCGAACCAAGCATATCGATGTAAGGTATCACTTTGTACGGGATGTCGTAGAGGAAGGTCATATTTCTTTTACGAAGGTACATACTGATGAGAACCTAGCTGACATGTTAATCAAGATTGTGCCAGGTTGCAAGTTCCAACACTGCTTGAACTTGTTAAACATTATCCAATATTCGTCCAAAATTTGAATATTTCAAATTATGAACGAGGTGGAGAATTGTGGAATTAAAGGAATAAAAATATAGAGTAATAATAGATAGGTAAAAGCTTATACTTGTCTATAATGTAATGTAATTCACTCATTTTATAGCATATGGATTACTATAAAATGAAACATGTTTGTCGCAATAGATATAATCAATACATATTGTAACAAGTTATTAGTTTTTCAATAAGTTCATCTTTCTTCTTAGACATTTCATTTCTTCATATAAATTTATTGTTCTAACTACATTATTTCGTGTTCAACTTTAGTGAGAGTTGTATTTCATATTGTTATCAGAAGCCAAATTTCCGCTGCGACTCTAACAAAACCTTTACATAATTGATCGACCAAAAATTTTATGTTTGTCAGGGATATAACTATGGCATTTCCAAGCTTTGTTTTGCACACTGAAGTGGAAGACTAGCTGCAAACAATCTTCGACGAATAAACACCAAAAGGATTGCATCTATAGAATAGAATGTATGCAATTGTGTAAACGTATAATCATGTGTTGAAAGTTCCATTAAATATCAACCATTTCATTATAGGAGATTATGAGTTGAAAGCATGAGTTGTAATTTTGTATAATCATGTGTCGAAAACACCATAACTATATTAACTTTAAAGGATTAACTTAATTGTGTACGTGCATGGGATGATTTTATTGGAATATAAGAAATGGAATCAGATTCGGTCCGAACGTACGAGGTGTCGAGAAAAAAAACCAATGTTTCAATACCAATACTCATGAACTTGAAAAAAATATATGACTCTATGTGCATGGAACAAATTCCAGTTCAAAGTGGTGGATACAAAAGAGCATCAAACAACTTGAGTATATATGGCATATGTTCTCCTAGGTATTCTATGTCTATATATACATAGATGGTTAATTAAGATCATTTCTAAAATCTTGGAAACAAACAAGTTTTTTTGATGGGCTGTTCTTGCACGAAACCGCGAATTCGGCGAGAAGATCCCGCGATTCTTGCCGAACAAACTTATTGTAAGCTTTTTATTTCTTTTCAATCACATTCTAGAGTTTGTATTATGGACAAATTAATATTGTAGCTTTTTTTCTGTGTCTATATACATTCAACCTTCCAGTTAATATTTCTGAAGTTGAAGCATTATATGATCTCTTCAAGAAATTAAGCAGCTCTATGGTTAATGATGGGCTAATTAGCAAAGTAAGCTCTATATATTTCAGGTTAATACCATAATTAAGATTGTGCAAGAAATTATTAGGAGTGTAATTAAGAAATATTGAACATATATAAGCAGGAAGAGTTTCAGCTTGGTTTATTTGGAAGCAGCAAGAAAAGGAGCCTCTTTGGTGACAGGGTCAGAACATAGTACATTAATACTGATTTGTGTACATTTATATCTCGTTTTTGGAGGTCCACCGTAGATTAAGTGCAGTTTAACCATGACAAATAAAATAGAGGTCTTATTTAACTACAGTTTAACTGTGACAAACATTTTAAAAAATGGTTTAACTGTGACAAATTTTTGACATGTTTGTCTTGTACGTCCTCAAAGACAGCTCTGACAAAGACTATTGTTATCTAAATTTGTAAGTAGGTGTTCGATTTATTTGACTCGAAAAATGATGGTATGATAGATTTTGGAGAGTTTGTTAAAGCTTTAAGCGTTTTTCACCCTGCAGCGCCACAACCACAAAAAGCAGCTTGTAAGAGTTCCTATCCGATAAAGATCATTTATACTGTCAGTGCATATGAATTAAACCATATGTTATAACGCGTTATTAAGTTTGATAACAATATGTTTGATGACAGTTGCATTTCGATTGTATGATATATGGCAAAGAGGCTTTATAGAACGAGAAGAGGTAAGAGAGATGATATTGGCGCTCCTAAGAGAGTCTGATTTAGTTCTTTCTCATGATATAATTGAGCTTATAATTGATAAGGTATTTTAATTTTTTTTCTTCGCATCGATTAATTATATCGATTTTGAGTATGTTAGGATTTTGTGGTTTATTTAATATCTAGTCTATGTGGTATTGCATAGGCTATTAAAGAAGCTGATTTGAAAGGAGATGGAAGGATTGATAGAGAGGAGTGGGAATATTTTGTTGCTCAAAATCCATCCTTACTCAAGAACATGACAATTCCATATTTGAAGTATTGTCCACTTTTCCTTTCATGCACTAAAAAAAACTTTACAAATTTGAGAACTAAGAGTTGATTATGTTATTTGCAGGGATTTGAATATGCAGTTTCTAGGTTTTTATGAAGTAATATCAGGAGATATTGAAGATAGCACAGTCGGCATTCAGAGAGAAAGAAAATATCTCCTTTAGAAGAACTAGAATTTGTGCCTGTCATCATTTATGTTTGACCATATTTGGAGAATTTATTTGGGCTATAATCTATTTGAGTTGAACATATAAATCAAAATTTTAAGTGGAAGAAGATCAATTATTGGAATGACCGGGCATTGTCTAGAGCATGTAGGGCATGTAAAGAAGTTATGATTAAATTAGTGATTCATGCTATCCTCTTTTATCTCATGAACATACTTTCATAAGATATTAAGTTTATGGATCTTCTTTATTCTACTTCTAATGTGAATCTCTTACTTCACACTTGATGATATATATAAAGAATCTTCTCCATAAGTGTGACTTGATCCATTCTAATGGACATACTCCCCTCAAATGAAGGTTTTTTCATCTATGTCTACTAACAATGTCGTTGCTTCACCCCAACGAAACACGCCAGTTGAAGACCTTGGTTAGAAGGATTTTTTATACAAGGAGCTCGACCAAACTAGGCTTTGAACCACAGTTGGGTCATAAGGGGGTTTAGAGATCACTACATTGAACTTTCATCCATTGCATAAAATAAGTTGGACACCATATCTTAACAAAAAACCTTAAGGCATTAGGTTTACAGGTCTCCTCATTTATAAAGTACTCAACATTCACTTTTCCATTTGTAATACGGTGAGAGAACTGACTTTTAGGTTTTGCATTTTATCGCAAATGTTGCGGATAGCAAGAGTCGTCACCGACTTTTCTTTTATCCAATAAAGAGAATGGTGAAAAGAACAGGAAAGACCTTTTGAGATTTTTGAGTAAAGGGGGTAGGTTATGAAAAGGGAAGGTGTTAGCACCCTTTTCATCTGTAGTTTTCTACGGGCTCTTAATCGTTAGCTCACATTTGAAATGCTTTGTATTTGTGTATTTTTGAAAATATTTTGAAAATGCCTAAGTACGACAATTTTGTAATGATTCTCGTATCGTTGAGAATGTATACAAAATGTTTGTTTTGAATATATTTATTAAAACAAAGTGTTGTTTTTGAAAGTGTGAGGTGTGAAAATTGTTTTAGTTTGTGAGCAAGCGATTACGAGCGATCTACCTACTTAAAAAGTCTTTGTTCTTTTCCTCCTCCTTTAAATAGTGCTACCCTACTACTAGTTAGTAGGAAGCCCTATCGTTGGATGTGAGGAACATATGCGGATCATCGTACAGTCATAGAAGACAACTTGTAGGACGCTTTAGCAATTTTCGTAAGGGACTAAGATCGTTTATCGAAGGCAGCATCGAAGAGTCATCGAGAGACTACGATCTTTTAACCGAGGGTCTTTGCTAAAGCATCCCACGTTCGAGGGATATGACTGTTTAAATCTGATGCAACAAGTGAGGGTCACCCTAGAGGTGCGCGTGTGTGAAGTGTGTTATGTTTCAGTTTTTAGTCTTGAGATTAGGTTATCTAACGTTTGTTTTTTATGTATTGTCATGCACGCCTAATCAATCTAGCAGTTAAATATATACAAGTGCAGAAAAATAAAAAACGGAAAATAATCTACACTATTACATCGCTTCAGGGATGGAGAGTACAAACCATAGATTGGAGAAAAAATGTAAAGAGGTCCTAATTATCTATTAAAAACTATTGATAGTTACAATATTGGAAAGTAATGCGAAAAGATAAACGAGCGCACAGAAATTGAAAAGGGAAAAGATATCAAAACCCTAAAAAGTGTTCTAAGTGTTTTAAGAAAAATATTTTTTTGTTGTTTTTGTTATAGAAAAATAATTAAAGTATAAAAAATAAACCCTAATCCTAATTAATTAATTAGTTGATTAATAAATAAAAGCAAAATATGATTAAGTTAAACTAATTTTAATTATAAAAAATTAAATGAATTAATCAAGAAAAAAACTAAATCTAATTTTTATGATTTTATGATTTTTGTAATTAAATAAAAATTAATTAAGCAAATAAAAATAGTTAATGAATGGGCCTGCAAACAAGTAAAATGGGGGTAAGAAAGAAGCAAAAGTCTAAGCCCAACTCAAGGAGCCCAGGCGCCTGTCCTGGATCTGGTGAGGACAGTTCTTTGAGGTTCACCACGAGGAGGACACATCTGGAGCGTTGAATCTGGATCTGTTGAGATCTGAAGGTTGTAACATTAGGCGCATGATGAGCACGTATGCGTGGTTTATACTGGGTCTGCAATGAAAATGTTAGAAAATAAAATGCCAGAGGCAGGGATCGAACCCCTGCCCTGACACACTAAAGCCTTTGCACGCTTCCTTCTATCGTTGAGACGGTTGTTCTATCCAATAGTACAAATGCAAACAATTAATTATATAATAAACTATTTTTCAAAAATTTGAAGATGAACTTCATCTTCTTCCTCGCGCTAGCAACATCAACACCATTTTCAAATTTTGTAAAAACTTCATTTCTCAAACATTTCAAAAAGTGTAAATAGCAAAGTTGCTTGAATTTTAACCATGAATTCAATGATACCATTTATTTTAACTAACCCTCAAAGAATATTACGAATTTATTCAAAAACCAGAGAACCCTAAAAACGGTTCAGAAGCACCAAACTCATAGTACGAGTAAAATTGAAGGCAACTAGCTTAGGACTCACACTTAGCATATCAAAAGCTATATTTTTACTTCAGAAATTAAACACTAATGATGTATGTATGATGGTTTTCGAAAGAGGTCAGAATTTACCATTTTGAAGAAAGTCCAAAGCTTATTCTATGGCTTCCAGGTGCAATGTGATGATCCTATGAGCTTGCTGGGACTTCACTGAAACTATTACAATCCTTACTTTGCTTTGAAGCTTACTGAAACGATCCAACCAAGTTAATATGCAAACGACTATTTATTGAATGAGAGGGTGCAAATGGAACAGTGTCAATTTGGATTTTATGGTTTGGATAACTTCTAAATGAGTTTTAGAAACTTTTTAAATGATAACAATGGAAAATGTGCGAGTAGAATGAGAAATGGAAGTTTGAGGCTTGAAGAACTTTCTACAATGGTATTTTGGTGAAAATTCTCGTGTCCTTGAGTTATTAGATTTGAAGACTATTTATAGTGGTTGAATTAGGTCTATGTGACTTGCAGAAATCAGGTTTAGTTCATATGGAAGGTTGGTTTGGCCATTTGGTTTCAAATTGCACAAATTCATGATGAAGAAAGGAGTGAATCAAGGGATTCTTGCCAAGCTTTTTAGACTTTGTAGATTATTTCTGATATTGAGAGATTTATTGTGATCTTTAGAACAGATTTCAAGCTTGAAAGAAGAGAGTGATTAGCAAAAGGTGATCTTTATCAAAGTAGAAATGTTACTTTTGCAATTTTAACCATAAATGGTATCAAAAACTTGAACAAAGCTTCAAATCCTTATTTAATACACTTAGGGTCTATGTAATTACTCAATTATGCATAGTTTTAGAGGCAAAGATGTCTGAAAAGAAGGATCTTGTAGCTTATATTTGAGATTTGGCCATAAGGTTTTCAAAAGAATGACCTATAATTCAAGTTTGACATGCCATCTTCATCTTTTCAAAACTTCTATCTCAAGTATGATAAATTCATGCTCTTGGAAATTTTGGAAAGCTTGAAACATTGTCTACAACTTTCATGTTGAACACTTTTGTTGAATCAATTGGGATCTTGGTAAAAAATGGCCATGAAGTTGGTCACTTTTTATGTCAAAACTGTTTGATAAATTTCTCTAAGTGTTGGCAGAATTTCACATGCTTATATCTCTTGATTTGAGAAATTTTTGGAGATCAACTCTCATTAGCAAAGTTGTAGAATTTTTCATTACCTACAATATCTATGTTGAATTTTTTTGCTGAATCAATTTAGATCTTAGTGAAAAATTGCCATAAAGTAGTGACTTTGTTAAGAACAAAACACTTAGAAATTTTTCTAAGTGTTGGAAAATTTTCCAACTTTTGACTTTTGTTGACTTTTTTTAATGATCAAACTTGATAATTTTGAATGTTTTGATGATTCTTGATTTTTGAATTCCAATATTGACCAAAAAGTCAAAGTTTGACTTTTGTATGACTATTGACTTTTTTTATCAATTGATTCAATTTTTCAACTATCAATTACTTGTATTTTTGGAAATGTCTTCAGCCATGTAATTAGGTCAAGATGTTGTATTTGAGCCCTTGAGATCATGCTTTAATCCATTAGGGCATGCACTAGGCCAAAAGTAAATGATCAGTCATCTTCAATCAAAACCCTAATTTGGCAATTTTTGACCTTTGATGGTTTGATGACCTTCCTTGAGGAATCATGATCAACCCTTGATTAAATGATGAATAACACCTCAAAATGTTGATGTTAACAAAAAATATTGAAGTTTGACTATATGTTAACCATAGTTAACTTTTTACCCAATACAATTGACTTTCAATCTTCTGAGCCACTGACTGAGCAATCATGTGATGCAAGAGTTGAAAATTGACATAAGCACTATTGAGGACCCATGATGAACCATGAAAGTCATTTGATACCATTGCAACCCAATCTTAATTGAGAAGCACATCACCCTAGTTGTAGACCCTTGCTTAGGAGGAGGTTTAACCAGTCAACTCTTGAGTGGCTTTGGGTATTTGAGACCTTTGTGATCATGTTTTGAAGAAAATGGGAGAGCAAATTTTGGAGTAGAACAACTGCCCCTATTCAATCTTCTTAAACCTGAAGAGTTAGATTGTCATGTTCGCCATTCGTGACTTGAAGGTAGAAGATGATTGAACACTTAAGTGCCCAGAAATTTGCACTCGGCGGTGCATGAAGTCACGCTATTGGTTGATTATACCAGGAATGGGATTAAAGATGCCATTTGGAGAGGTAACCGTGAGTCACCGGAGGTGGACTTATAGATGCCATCTGAAGTAATTATTGATAGAATTTAGACTAAGTCTACGCTCGACTTCAACTGGAAGAAGTATCAGAATAAATATACACTTGATTTAATCTGAGTCAGAGGATGTCTACGCATGTCTTTAACTGGGAAAAGTGTCAA